TCATGGTCTTCATGAGATTTGAGTGCCACGTGGCACTTCCATGTGTGATCAGGGATATACTTATTATGATTGTTGATATGAAGAGGGGAGAAGCCCGGAAGCCCGGAGAAGGAGAGGGTCCAGCAGGGATTATTGTGTGATTCTTGATGTTCTCCTTTGTGTGTTCCCCCTCCACTCTTTATCTTCTAGTGATGATAATGAGATATACTGTTTCATATATTTCTTCACGAATTGGAGACTGTGCTGCAGATGCCGACTCTACAGGTAGTTGACGACTTCTGACTATCTGTCAGACTGGATTCACTACATTTATTTATTTATTTATTTTAAACACTAGGATCTTTTCAACAGAGCTCTGAACATGTTCGCAGCAAGATATACCCGGAGCTGGTCGTAATTGCAGTCGGATGCATCCAGAAAAGTCCTAGTATGAGTACACGTTCGGAAAGCACCAGCAAAATGCCCTCAGACACTGCATCTCAGCACAGCAAAGTAAGGGCATTCTCACGCTAGGACTTCCCTGGATGTATCTGACTGCAATTCCGGCCCATCCTGTATGTATGTGGTCGCAATTACGTCCGAAGACGAGTAGAAAAGTCCTAGTGTGAGAACACCCTCGAGGTCCGCAGAGGACAGCAACCTCTTGGAGAACTGCAGATCTCTCTGACTGAAAACTGTGCAGGGTGCCTACCCTCTTCACCCGAATAGAACGCCCGGTAGTTATCACCATATCTGGGCTGAAAGTTGTGCCAGATACAGCTATAATGACTGGGTGTTCTATTCGGGAGAACACGGCAGCTCAATTGCGACACCTATGACGCGCGGCGGAATAGAGACAGACCGGAGTTCGAATCCAGATGCAATCAGCACACCCATGAAGCGTGGACATACACACCTGAGTTCGAATCCAGATCCAATCAGCAAACCCATGAAGTGTTGGAAATACAGACCTGAGTTCGAAACCAGACACAATCAAGATGAAGAAAAAGAAAATAATTCTGAATTACCTGTGCACTATCTGATCAATTATGCATATCTCAAGACTGTTTTTTCCCCCCCTCCTGAGTAGGGGTAACCCAGCCATGCATGTGGCTGAATGCTAAACTCACCCACAAACTGGGCTCGAGCAGGATTCGAACTTGCTCCTCTTTTTTTTTTCCCTAAGTGCAGATACAGATAAAAAGACCGCAATTTGAATCCGGCTAGGATCCAATGAAGCAAATAAACCTGAATTACCTGCATCCGGTCAGAATCCAGGGGCATGGTCCCACTAGCAACGGGATAGGATAGAAACGAGTTTGTGGGGCAGTTGAGTGACCCAAATCCTGCCGTGCAGTACTCTTGATCCCACGGTCAGTATTTTACATGTATTACCTGAAAAAGTAAGGAGATCTTCGTTCCCCTCCCCCTCTCCTTAACACTGGGCATGCCCGTGCAAAGACAGCTTCCCGCCAGAATCTTTTCAATCGGTTGGGG